TGAGCGCGGCGAGATCCCCAAGCTCCATCTCCCCCCACTTAGCGACCTCCTCATTGCAGATCGCCCTTCGGCTCTTCCGTCGAGCCACGACATAATCATTCACACCCTCCTAGTTTCCCACTGAGAGCCGTGGGTAGGGGAACGGCTGAGAAGGACTAGGAGGAATCACCCCTTGCTGCGGGAGCTCACCTTCCTCGAGGCCAGCCCCACCAGCACCTCCTTCAGACGGAGGTGGTGGAACTTCAGGCGGCAGAGAAGTGAAGACGGGCTCAGCAGACCCGAACTCAGTACCCCCAGAGGTGGGGGTCCGGTCAGGGTGCAACCTCTTCACTTTGCGCTTCTGGTTGCTTGAGAGGAGGCGGCGTGAGTCAACACCAGACATGATGGCTGCCAAAAAACCACAAGATATCAATTCGGTAAAGAACGGAGTATATGTATATACACAATAGTCACAAGGCACTACGCGACCTAAAAAGACAACCTACCCAGACTCGGGCCGGCCTGCACGAGCTTCTCCTCGGCCAAGTAGTCCGAACAGAGGAAGCCTACCAATGCCCAAGACAACATCGTTTTCCGAGTTTCAGGGTCCAGCTCGGTCCCAGGGTCCTGGATGGCACCCCTCCAAGAAGTTGGGAAGGGCCACCCCTCGGGGTTACGGACCACAAAGTAATCTCGCTTTCATGCGGGAATCTTGTTTGGTAGCCCGTACAAGAGCTTATAGCCACGACGAGGAGAGAGGTAGTAAAAACGCCTCTCCAAAGGAGCCCCAGGAGTGGCATTTTTTATACAAAGAATAGAAGCAAAAATGTCAAGGTCCAAGGGGAGACAGTACTCATAACACAAAGAAATGGTCCCAACCATGTTCCGAATAGCGTTGGGATGGAGATGATCGATGGTAACATTAAAGTGATTTAGCACCTCCATTATTAGGGGGTGCAGGGGGAGATGCAGGTCAGCCTCAAACTGTTCCTAGAAAATGACTATATCATTGGGACCATGCTCCCAAGGAAAATTACCGGTGGGGAGACTGTAGACAAGGTCCCCGGGAAGGTGAAAGTAGCGGATTAGAGACCTGAGTCTCTCCGCCGTCATGGAGGAAGGACCAAAGGTGTCAGGCTCCCTCCCTCGAGAAGTAGAGGCCACATCACCGAAGGTCTCCCGAGCCTCCAAGACCTATTCCCAAGCTCCTCCCGAGCTCGAGGGGGTGTCATCATCCTGGTTACCGTCCCGGTAATAAGTATGGTACGGATACCCATACATGATTGATAGTGATTGAGACACTGAAAAAGACGAAACGAAGTGAACAGAAGATCTCGGGTAGATTAGATGGATGCACGACCTCAGAATCCGAAGACAGCAAGATGGCATGAAAGGAAATGAGGCCTAGGGGACCCTCCTATTTATAGCCATTGTGCCTCCGAATCAACGACCTAGATTGAGGCAAATCCGATGGTCCGTAGTCAAGCTAACCACATGCCTTCTGAAACCGAAACGTGACTGGCTGCATGTCTCCCATGATTGAGGTAATGGTGGCTGCACGACATCCGGAGTTGAGCCACTTCAACACGTTTTCGGTATCCAAAAGGTCAGAAATCCCCTGATTCCCACGCACGCATTTAATATAAGCAGTAAATCAAATTTGAATTTCAGTCAAATCAACCTGTCACACCTCATGAACTCCTCGTGCTAAGACAGCACTCTTAGCCTGAGGCGTGGGGGCAATTGATGGAAGATGATTTGACCCGACCCACTGAGACAATGATACGTGGACCTAACTCAGCATGAGCAACATCTCAGCATCATAGCCTGACCACAACTAAGTGACGAACCTGTAAAGCAGCTCGCTACGTCATAGCTCGCTACAACGCGAGATCCAGGTCCCCCGAGCTACTGAGAAGGGAATACTCCAACCCTGATGAGGGTCACCTCGAAGTACCCCTAAGAGCTTGCTACAAAGTAGCTCGCGGCAAGATAGCTCGCTATGAAGTAGCTTGCAACTGAGTAATGCGACGCTCTCAAGAAGCTTCCATCTGACAAGACCGTACCGGTTAGACTGCGCCGCGTCTCTCGACTGACAGCGCAGCCCCTGTCCTTTCGACTGTCCACACCCACGTCTCTCGACAGATGGAGGCGTGCCTGCCCCTTTGGGACGTGTCACTCATCCAAGCGGATAGTACACTTTAACGATCGCCTGTGCAGACCTGGCAGGTAACGGTTGCGGCAGAAGCCCAGTGGCGGTTATGCTCGGTTTGACAAGAACACCCCTATAAAAGCCTTTAAGGCGAAGGGGAGAGGGATATATATACTCATACACTCTCACACTCTCGGATATTATAAAAATTGGAATTATCTTACTTACTCATGAGTTAACCTCGCGAACACAATGATCCAATGCGACCTACACTCTTAGCCTTTTATACTCAGTTCTTCCTCCCCAGCATTCTAACTTAAGCTTCGGAGTATTCCCGCCGGGCAAATCCCCGGGAATCCTTCTTCTTCGTCTTCTCAGGTGTCGCCCGTTGCCAACAAGGAGCCAATCAGCAACTAGCTAGGAGTGTCGGATCGTGCCGCATCATTTGGCGCCGTCTGTGGGAAAGGGATATATATACTCATACACTCTCACACTCTCGGATATTATAAAAACTGGAATTATCTTACTTACTCACAAGTTAACCTCGCAAACACAGTGATCCAGTGCAACCTACACTCTTAACCTTTTATACTCTTTTCTTCCTCCTCAGCGTTCTAACTTAAGTTTCGGAGTATTCCCGCCGGGCAAATCCCCGGGAATCCTTCTTCTTCGTCTTCTCAGGTGCCGTCCGTTGTCAACAAGGAGCCAGTCAGTAACCAGCTAGGAGTGCCCGGATCATGCCGCATCAGTTACAATTTCTTAAAATTAATTTTATTACACTAACAATTAAATTGTGTTATTTTCCAGAAAAATTACTATAAATCAATGAATATACAAAATTTTCAACCAATAATTTCTTTATAAATGTCATTTAAAATTCATTAGAAATTATAAAATTAAAAAATAAAGTCAACAATTACCGCTCCAAGAAAGAGTTGGTGGAGTTTGCAAATTGGGGAACAAAATATCATAATTTTGGAGAAAATAAAAAATATATTAATGTAATTTTTGAAATTTTCTTTAGAATGTAGTAAAATACTTGTTGAAAATTATTGGAATATTTTGGAAATTTGGGAAATTTTATTACATTTGATAGATTTTGGAAAATTATTTAAAAATTGTGTGATTTTCATTTTAAATTATTAAAGATAAATTAGTATTGGTAAAGGAAAACGGTAATTTGAACCAATAATTACACAAATTATTTTTGTTATTAATATAAATTAGTATAATATTGGAAAATTTTAAAACAGGAAATTATTAATTAACTTATATTAAAAGTAAAAGATAAATTATTGTAATTTTATAAATAATATGTTTAAAAAAATAAATTATTGAATATATTTAAAAAATCAATAATTTAGTATATATACTTTTGAAAATTTACTAACAGCCGACATTCGATATATCTTTTGATCTTTTTTACTAGCAAATTAGACATTGGGTTTTCCCGTACATCGCACGGGTCCCCTGCTAGTCATATTAAAAATTGGCCAGGTCTGATCTGATTCTATATTAAAATGGTTTAATATAATATAAATATTTACATACCATAATTTTCTAGTTTGAAAATTTTTTTCTAAACGAGACCGGATCATTAACACCCCCTTTGTTGCCAATAATAAATACAGTCGAAAATAAAAAACTAAGAGAACAGTAATAGTCTTGATTTTGCAACAATAATAGTCTTCATGGAATTCCCTATATGCTGCGACCTACTTTTACGGCCCCATTTAAATATAAACACGTCAGCGATTCATATGAAAAGGCAGTTCAAGTGATGTTATGAATTTATTATTGGGAGGATGTCTGTTCAAGCGATTGATTCAGTCCACCCTTAGAATTGTTACTTATATCCATAGTTCAAAGTATCGATATATCTCTATGTATCAGTATTTATATATATATATGAATTTTTTTTTTTAAATTTTGGTTTTTAGAGAATTAAAAAAATTATTTTTTATTAAAAAAGGGTGGTTTATAAGTATTTTAAGACTCAAAAGATATGATACGATATGGGATCAGATGTATCATATTGATTTTTTGAACTTTGATTCTATTACAATTGAGGTAGGTGTCAGCTTAGAATTGATGCCAATAAATGGATGGATAATGGTGTTTAGGATGGGAGTATTTGATATTTTGAATTGTTATAGGTTTGAGTGGAATTCAAAATGCTAAGGTGGAGTTGTTTAAGCACTTACTTCGATTGTATTATACTGTCTTTTCCATCAGATAAATGCATGTGATGCCATTTGGCCTTGGTAGGTGTAATTTTTATGGCATTCTCTTATTTGGTTAAAAATCGAACTTATAAAGTATAAATCGATCCAAAACCGAATTATTAAAAAACAAAAAAAAAATCAAAGCCGAATTTTATTGGTTTTTTCTTAATCAAATTTTTTTTGGTTTTTTCAAACCGGTTTTAGATTTAATTTTTTGGTTTTAACCGAACAAATCCTCAGCTACTAGAGCCACACATCGGGAACATCTCTCAGGGGTGGGTAGCAGATCCTGCCTGTGTTATGGGGCATAGTAATAATATGTTTCAGTATCGACTGGACGACGATTACAAAGTAATCATTTACAGTTGATCAAAGAATCTCCATGGTGGGTCCCCAGATGGGCGGCTCCCTCTCACTTCTCTCGAACCAGGAAGGCAGGAACCACAGTCTACTCTACGCCCAAACATTCCTCTTGGATCCGTCGCGAAGAGAGAGAGAGAGAGAGAGGGTCACCCACCACTCACCAGCGATGGGGCTAGCGTGTCTCGATCTACAAGTAGCTGAGGAACTCTCCGCCACCCACTGGACACCTCCGACATCTCAATTTTATATTATTAACCTTATCGATGCAATTATATAAAAAACATTTCCTTGTGTTTTTTCTTTTTCTTTTTTTATGTTTCACGGTTTCACCAACTCTATTCCTATTCTCAGTGCTGAGGAGGACATGCTTTTCCACTGATCCCTCTGTCTCGCGCTCGTAATAGGAAGAGGAGGAATCACTGTATTCTGTAAGTTTATCCCTTTTTTTCGATCTGCATTTCTCATTTGGGATGCTCATTGACGTTTGAACAGCTTGAGCTCACACTTTTTTTTACTGGGTTTGTGTCGGTGCTTTGGTTCCTAAATCCTAATAGTTCTAACAACTTTACTCAATCAATTTTGTGATCACCATGTTCTTTCCCATACTCTGCCCCTCTCTAAAAGGTAAAAAGGTCAGACAATTGAGTAAATTTCTTGGTTTGTTAAGAGATTCTGCTTGAGTTTCGTTCTGATTGCATATCCTGTCATTTGCTTCACGTACACACTTGTGAGTTGTGATTGCTCAGACATGGTTTTTGATATTATTTTTGGTTGATCTGAGTTTGCGGTCGTTTAATACAACCATCCTCTGATTCGTCGATTTCTTTTGTTTGTTTCCAGTGAAGTTAAGGAGGTGGACTGGGTTGGGTTGCTTACATTTTCAGTTTTCCGGGTTTGTTGGATAGAAATTCATTTACAGTTCACCATCCATTTCTCTGTTATATTTTCTTATCCTTTTCTTTCTGCCATATATCAGATCTTACTGCGCGATAAGATGAGAGGAGGTCTATGGCAGCTTGGGCAGTCCATCACGCGCCGCCTCGCTCAGACTGATAAGAAGGCTGTGGTACGCCGATGTTTTGCCTCCGAAGCTGAGCTCAAGAAGACGGTCCTTTATGACTTCCATGTCGCCAATGGCGGGAAGATGGTTCCGTTTGCCGGATGGAGCATGCCGATTCAATACAAGGATTCGATCATGGACTCAACTCTGAATTGTAGGGAGAATGGTAGCATCTTTGATGTCTCGCACATGTGTGGCCTCAGCCTTAAGGGTAAGGACTGCGTTCCGTTTCTGGAGAAGCTTGTAATTGCTGATGTTGCTGGGTTGGCTCCTGGTTCTGGGACGCTTACTGTCTTTACGAACGAGAAAGGAGGGGCAATTGATGATTCAGTCATTACTAAGGTGAAGGATGACCACATATACCTAGTTGTGAATGCGGGTTGCAGGGATAAGGACCTGGCACATATTGAGGAGCACATGAAGGCGTTCAAGGCCAAGGGCGGGGATGTCACATGGCACATCCACGATGAGAGATCTCTTCTAGCTCTCCAGGTGAATTATCGATTTTCTTTTTCTAACAGAAAATATGGCCTTGGGTAGAGGAAAATAAAGCAATGAGATAGGTATTGCCAATCCCACTTCTGAGGCAGATGATGATGATAGTTTTATTTATTTATGCCTTAAGTTCTCCTTTGTGACATGGATGTTACTTTGAGCTTATATATCTTCACTCTCTATCTACTAGGGTTGGTATTCAAAGTATGGCTCCTCAATTAAGGAATCTTTTATCTTTCTAGATTTGAAATATGTCTTAGTTTCTTTCATGTTTTTCATGATTAATTATTTAATTATGGTGTTTTCTTGATTGGTTTGGAATTAGCATCACTTTTTTTTGGGTGAAATGATGTGATTTTGGCAATTTCTTTTTCTTTTGAGCTACTCTTATTTTTTGAAATAATTATCATCTTGAATTTCTTTTTGCATACTGTTTTTCTTACTATTTTGTATTGGGAACTCTCCTTTTGAATCTTTTATGGTCTCTTCAATCCTAACAGACAAGAAGGCTATTTAATCCTCTTTGGCAGGTTAAGCATTACAGTTGTTTTTATAATTTTTTTTGTCTTACTGATTTCTTTTAGGGAATAAAGTCCCTTGTTTTCAACTGAGGTTTTATTTCTTCCTCATTTGGAAGAAAAAAAAACACGAACTTATTAGCACTTTTATGTCAGTTCATATCCTTATAGTGATATACCAATAAGAGTTTTATGTCTGGCTATGGTATAGGGTCCTCTTGCTGCACCAGTTCTACAACACTTGACAAAAGATGACTTGAGTAAGATATACTTTGGGGAATTCCGAACTTTGGATATCAATGGGGTGCACTGCTTTCTTACTAGAACTGGGTATGTTGCTTCCTTGGTTCCTTTTTGTTGTCTTACAAATTACTGTTAACTAAGACATAGTGAGGTAGCTAAAGTTCATGTTCCTTTCTGTTCTGAGTTAGTGCCTGCTTTCTAGGATTATAATTTTAGTGCTTATAACTACTAGCTATTTGTTTTTTCTCTTTTTGCATTTTGAAGAAAAATGATTAAATGTTTGAACTTGTTTATTCTATTTCAGGAAAAAGATGATGAGTTAGACCCTTATCCATGTCACTATCTGGTTAGGGTTTAGTAGTATGATTGTTGTTTGACTGTGCCAAGGATTTTAATTTTAACACCAGCTAAGATTAGTTGGTTAAGTTTAGGGGCTGAGAATTTTAGTTAAGAGTCAAAAGGAATTAACCAGCTTGGTCTCATTGCAATCTGATAGAAAACCCTCATTATGTTGCAATCAGCCAATCACATGTGCTGGGTCCTATTGGATTTTTAGATCCTCTTTTCTCTTCAGTGGTCCTCTCCAGATAACACAAGATTAACTGAACATGATGGTTTTATATGCTATGATTTCTGAATGCACCATTTTGTGTCTTCACCAATGCTAGATAATAAATATTGAAAGTATATTCATGAGCCAATGTCGTCTAGATATAGCATAAAATAGATTTGGAACCAAATCTCACAGAAGCCTCTTTATGTGCTATTGCCATGATAGTAAGATGCCAAAATCCAGATTAGTCACTCCCCATAAAATTGTACTCTGTCACCTTTGTCCTTTTATATTTGTAATCCTGTTGTTTGGAATTTGGATAATGAAGGGGGTTGCTGCTCAGTGTGATGGTAAATCTTGTGCTGCATGGAAACAGGGGTTTGAAAACATCCAGTAAAGAAAAAGATTTGCAGGCCTGTATTGCACTCACTTGCCGTGTTGCTGCTAGTTTGTGGTGGGACCTGAAACAAATGCATAGAACACATATATATTGATCATCTTTTGTATATTTGATATTGAAAATTTCTAAATGTGCATGTGTATTGAACACATATTCAAAGCCTCAAATTGAGCTTCTTCAGCTTTTTTTTTTTGGTACATAGCCTCGTCAGCATAATGAACATGAGGATATATATAAGTTGATATACATACTTAAATACATACATTCATGGATGTGTGTGTGTGTGTTATAATTGTTGACTATAAAAGATTTCTCTTTTGCCTGAATGAAATTGTTACCCTTTCTCAGAGAGGGAAAAAAAAGATTCTATAGATGAGCCAATCTTCCACCTAAGCCTCATTGTGAGTTGACAACCTGATCGAAGTAAAGCTCAGCTCAACTTAGCCTTTTTCTTATCAAGTTTTAGATGGCACTTCTTTTACTTTCTCTTTTTGAGTGGTCTAGTGTGGTGAAGAAGAAAGAATGTATCTGGCATGCTTTCTATGAGAAAGAGGAGACAGAAAATTATATTTCTTCAGGCTATAGGTTGCCTAATGTAAGCATAATAGATATTGCTGGTCAGTTGGTGACGTATTCAAAGGTTTGTGGATGTCATGATTGAAACTACCTCCCAAGTGTCAAACCAGCATTAAGGCCAGTGTTATGTTGGTAAGGCTTAGTTTAGGAAGAATACAAAGACAAAAATGAATGTATAGTGCAAATACAAGGCTTAGAAATACAATATACAAGGTTTTGCACCTACATATAGATAGATAGATAGATAGATAGATAGATAGATAGATAGATAGAGATGAAGGGTCATTCCACATCCTAATAAAATTCTACTTGCCGTTGATGACTCAGAGAACTCTACAGATCACATCAGCTTGTGCTCCTCTATCGATGTTGCATGAACTCTCATAAATGGACAATGTGTCTGTTTTGACATGCATTGGAGTCCAACACTCCAGGGATTCTTGAGGGATACTATGTAACATTTCCTTTTTATCTCTTAGTTTATTTGACATAAATGAACAACTGATGTACAAGATGAATGCCACAAATCAAATGGAACAAAAATGACATTTTTGACCTCCTTTTGCAGGTATATTATGTCATAATTCAAAATTTTGAACTATTTTAATAGTATATACTTTTCCATAGATTTGTCCATGAGTCCACAGACATCGTGGACGTGTCAGATTCTGACTCTTGTGCGCCCATGTAACACAGTCCTCAATACAAATGTGCCACCCCAATCCATTCTCTTGATAGTCCATAGGCCAAAGGGTTAGCTGATCTAGGAATCAATTTGAATGAGTTGTTCAATCTAGAAGCCAATGATCTAGCTCCTCTTATGAAGTGTGGGAGAGCCTGATATTTGTCAGAGGGTGACAGCATCCAACCAATGGCCATCTACAATTTTGCCTTTCAGTATAATATCTTGTATGCAAGGAAGAAACCAATTTTAAACATTCAACAATGAGAGATTCACAGTCAATGAATTCCCATCATCAAGTTGTCCTGAATAGACCTGTAAGATTTCCCCCAAAGGTCCTGGGAAACTTCCTTCTATGGGAAAAGACCTGTAATATCTTGTATGCAAGAGAGAAACCAATTTTAAACATTGCAACAATGAGAGATTCACAGTCATTGAATTCCCATCATCAAGTTGTCCTGAATAGACCTGTAAGATTTCCCCCAAAGGTCCTGGGAAAGTTCCTTTTATACCTAAAAACCCTAGATTTCCAAAGGAGCATTGATCAAACTTTTTTGGTCCTATTGAATTTGTCTTTTATAATGATTCCTGCTCTAAGATCCCAAGTACTGACTAATATTTCTAACTTCAACTTGGATCATCATCAAAATGTTCTGTAGAAATAGTCTCCTGCCAAGTTCTGTGTGTCTCTGTAGAGTCCATATTTTTTTGTGTGTTCAGGGAGGAGGTAAGGCCCATGATTTTCTCCTTCAAGACCATTATATCTCTATTTGAACTTCTTCCAACAGTGGCTGTGTAAGTAATGATAACAAAATTGATTTTGTACCAAGCAATATGAGATTCCAGTGGTGCATCACTCTACAATTTCTTTCTCGTGATGTAGGGTTGAGCTGCTTGCTGAATTACCAAAAATGTTAAGGAAATGATTCATGTCTGTCTTTATGAAAACCTCATTTGCTCTTTCCTTGTTCTTCTCAAAATTTTGATTACTTGGGTAAATCTTATATATGCATTCTTCATGAATAAAGTCATTTTCTTATTGATCCAGGGATTTTTTTTTTTTTGATAATTTGATCCGGAAGAAGTATTATGCTTATGTTTAAACTCCAGAATGTTCGAAACAAATGTAGCCCTGTAAAAGGCCCATGATTTTCCAAGAACAAGTTGTTTGTATAGTTCAGAACTAAAAATGGCAAGACCTAGATAGCTAGGAGTCTAGGACCAATATTGGGTAATGGTCTTTTTTTATTCAAGTTCTGTACTGGCCAATGGGCAAAGTAGAGGAACTTAACTAATACCAAACACTGATTGTAGACTGAAGAAGAAATTAAAGAGAAATAATTGAAAGAAACATATTAATAGATTAAATTGCACAAACATAAATTAGTCTTAATCTCCTTTGGACCTCATCTTAGGCCTCTAATTCAAGATTGAATTCACAGCGCACAACTGCAATTGTTAGGACATGTCTTATCTCTGATAACGTGTCTATGGAGTCACATGTATACTTGGAGCGAAGTTATGTATTTCATTGGTATTGATGTGTGTATATATATCATGTACAAGATAAGTTTGTTACAAAAGGATAAAAGATAAATACAAAAAATAATGAGATAATCACAGGAGGAAGGATAGCTACTGGTCAGCCTTATCAGTGATTCGGTCTTGGTTAACATTACATCCCCAAGGGAGGAAATCAGTTATACAAATTTTCTTTGGTGTTCATTTATTAATTAAAAAGGATCGACTTTCTGGCATATGTATAGCAAGTGGATACTTTCTAAATATGCTAACTTGCGATTAATAGTGTAGTTATAGGAAACCCCCCTTTCCAGTTGATTAGGAGAGTATGGGATCTTGTGTTCCTAGGCACACCTGTAGAGGCAAAAGTTTATTAAATTATTTGTGTGACCAAGTTATTCTTGATGCATAACTGATGATTGTAATTGTTTTGAATTCCATTGAACAGGGTAACATGGATCAGTTGGTGAAAGTTGGATCATTCATTAAAAAATATGATATGATGGATATTGGACATTTCCAGATTGTAGAAGTGTAGAACCGTGTTTTCCATTCTCCCAAAAAGAGGGTATTTGATGCCACACCTGTATTGGGAAAATTAACCCTTAGACTTGGGGTATGTTATTACCCGGAAATGAGAGAAAATTTTGAAAAATAGAAAAATCTGTCATTGTTATTTATACTGCACTAGTGGAAAGGTTTTCAGGATTAGATAAGGGCATGTCTTTTCGTCCATTCATCAAATGTTGCTTAAAATCATCTAGTAAATGCCATTTTGGTAAATCATGGAGTTTATTGATTTTCTTTCTGAAATTTCTGGCAAGAGTATATGAAGTTCTGTAATCAAACTTCATGGAACTTCAAGCTGGAGTTGTTGAAATAAAAAATTTACTGTCAGTGGTTCCTAGGATTATCATGGTTTAGAAACTTTTATCTCCGATTGAATTGATGTTCCTTCACAATATTTCTTCAGGTTCATCATTGCCTGACACTCTAGAACTTTGCATACTTTCTCAGGTATACTGGTGAGGATGGATTTGAAATTTCCGTTCCTTCAGAGCATGCGGTAGATCTTGCCAAGGCAATCTTAGAGAAATCCGAAGGGAAAGTAAGGTTGACAGGGCTGGGTGCACGTGACAGTCTCCGTCTTGAAGCAGGGCTTTGTTTATATGGTAATGACATGGAACAGCACATAACCCCTGTAGAGGCTGGACTTACATGGGCCATAGGAAAGAGACGAAGAGCAGAAGGTGGATTTTTGGGTGCTGAGACAATCCTCAAACAACTCGAAGAGGGCCCATCAATCCGACGTGTTGGTTTTTTCTCTTCAGGCCCACCTCCGAGGAGCCACAGTGAGATTGTGGACAGTGAAGGTAAGGCAATTGGGGAGGTGACAAGTGGAGGATTCAGTCCATGCCTCAAGAAGAACATTGCCATGGGCTATGTAAAGTCCGGGTCACACAAGGCAGGAACCAAGGTTAAGATTGTAATTCGTGGGAAATCCTATGATGGTGTGATCACGAAAATGCCCTTTGTTTCCACAAAATATTACAAGCCATCTTAGGTCGTTCTAATGCCTACATGATAGTACTGGCCATCCAAGTTCACTTAAAGTTGTGTTTCTGCTCCAACCACCATCTTCTTCTTGCTCTTTTCTCTTTTTCCGGGCAATCTTTGCCTATTGACATTGTTTCTGTTGAACTAAACGCTGTAATTAGCACCGAGATTATGTCTTTAATGCAAGAATTCAAGGAAAATTTATGGACTATTTCTGTGCCAGTGTACTTTGCAGTGGCTATTCTTTTTTTGATCAGTACATTAGCTATTCTGTTTGCGCCCAGGAAGTTGTAGAATTTTATGGAAGAAGGCATAAAGATCAATGACAACACAAAACAGAAAAGTTGTGCTATCCCGAGGCAGGGGACTCAGATGGGGACAGAGCAGGGGTTGCACGTGAGGCACCACCAGCGAGAGCCTGCATTTCTGTGGGATTGATCATGTTGCCTCCTTTTTCTGGAGGGATGCTGAATGCTGAGTGATCTCTAACTACAGGGTCTTGGGTTTGTGATGCTTACTTAAAAGCCAAGTCTTGCAATGAGCTTAAAAACATGTCTAACTAATAATTAGTTTATTTCTACTTCCTATTTGAAGGTGCCCTTGTCTGGCTTCACCACTGGTAAGGCCAACTCTCCATAGCTTCAGGTAGGCTCAAAGATACGTTGCATTTGCCTAGAAATGGTTTGCTTGGATGAAAACTGGGTTTGGTGTTGCACATTTCTTTCTTTGATTACAGAGTCAAGTTTCTGCAACTGCAGGATGAGAAAATTTTGGCCATGTTGGGTTCTCCCTGCATGGTACGATGGTTCACCCACCAAGGTTCAAAGTATCGATATGCCTTATTGGTACTTAAATACAAGTAGAAATGGCTTTTTTTTTTAAGTTTTTTTTGGGTAAATTATAAAGACCCCCCTGTACTGGGCCTGTGACAAAGACCCCCCTATACTTAGTTTTACGACAAAGACCCCTCTTACTATGACTGTGAGACAAAGACCCCCTTCTGCTAACTTTCTGATGAAATCTGCCATTACAATATTTTTTAATCTCCATATTACCCTTTTAATAACTATTCGTACAAGAAAAATATTGTTCATCTTTTTCCCCAAATTCACGATACACCGAACAACATTCTACCTCAAATTCTTTCACATTTCTCTCTCTCCCTCTCCCCCAATCTCTCTTCTTCCCCTTCCCCTGTCTCTCCTCCCCTTTCTTCCTCCCGCGACAACACCGTGGGCACTTGTATTTTACTATTCTGAAGCCATTCTCCATAGTGGGTTTTGATTTGGAGATGGGGAAGTGGACAAAGTCATTCTCCACCGTGGGTGACTCCTTTTCATAAAAAGAGTAAGGAGTGATTGACATGGGAATTGAGGATTTGGATGATGTCCTGTGATTGGTGTTGTCGGAGGTGACATGGGAATTGAGAATTTCGATGATGTCCTATGATCAATACAAAGATGGAAAGTAGAGGTGTTCCAGACATGTCCATAGGGCGACCACCACCGCTAGACCAATCCATTGGTCCACCAACATCTTCTCTATAGCAATCACTGTTGCTGCAAAGCTGGTCCAGTCGAGTGGAATCTGGGTTCGAAAGCCATCTATAGCAACCACCAACCGACCCCAATCTCGGTGGGGTCGAATATGGGTTTGGAAGAGCTGGAACTCTTCATTGCTTGGTTGTTTCTAAATCAGATGCCACTGCGGTATGGCCGAGATTGAATTCTGATGAGCGAAGTCCCTTTGTCGCTGCCCAACAGAAATCGGATGCCACTGCAGTTCGTTGTTGGAAAGACGAGACATTGATCTTTGTTAACAGGCATTGCCAAAGATTAGACGTTCTACATTTTTCATCAAAGAAAGTCAGGTTTTTCTTCCACCGCTGCTATTCGTGTATCGTGAATTTGGGGAAGAAGATGAACAGTATTTTTTCCTAATTGAACAAATACTTTGTCTGACAGTCATATCTGACGGTGATAGTATAGGAGGGTCTTTGTCACAAAACAAAGTACAGGGGGGGTCTTTGTCACAGACCCCATAATATAAGGGGGGGTTTTATAATTTACCCTTTTTTAATTTGGTTTTTGGGAAGATATTTGAATATATTTTTTATTAAAAAAGAGTGGGGTCCTTAAACATCTGTAAACAGGCGTTTCAAACCTCAAAAAATATGATACGATATACCCAATACGAGGTGTATCATATCTATACTTGATACTTTGAACCTTATCACCCAGCCAGCCATGCATCGAACAATGTACTGTTACACTTGAGTCTCTGTGAACTATCCTGTAGCTGTAGGGAGCCCAATGTTAAACGTGGACAGCTTAAGTTTTCTCACCACCACGAGACACAAGAAATATGAATATGTAACGAAGATATATAACCAATTATTCAACCCCAATTCAATCAATTTTGGCTTGAGTCAACTCGTTCTTTTCCTGTTCTTATTTCTTTTCTGAAAATCAAGAACCAGAAATTTATCCAATGTTAATTCAATTTTGAAAACATTAATTGGTGTGGAATTGTGGATGAGCATAAAGGCTTTAACTTGAAGTCCAAGCTGTCAAGGCCGAGCACAACCAAATCTGGAGGACCCCGGATTAGAAAATACCTTATATATATATATATATATTAGATGAAATAAAATAAAAACTGAAGCAAAATAGAATAAAATCAAATTAAAGCAAAAATGCATCAAATTTTACAATATTCTCATTTGCAATTTCATGCATTACAATATTATATAATTAAAGCTCAGATTGAAAGGAGTATAAATATAAATAGTTTGAGTGCAAAACCTTATACTTTGTATTATTTTATATGTATTTATACTGTAGATATTTGTATTTATACCTTTCAAAGGAATACAATAGATATTTGTATTTGTACACTCTGGATTGGTGTGGGGAGCATATTCAATTAAGTGCGACATACCGGCTGTGGAACCTGGACAGCTAAAGGAAAAAAACAAACTTTAGCTGGCTCTATCCACGTGTAACTTTGTTGTAATTTAAAAAATAGTTTAGTTACAATTTAATTACTATTAATTGTTGTTGATCAATACTATCTTAAAATTTAATTAGTGTTAAATTTAAAAACAATTTTAAAATAATTACTATTAATGCTGTTAATTACTGATAACGGGTTTTCAGGTTGGACTTAATTAATTACTGTTAAATAACTCTGTTTTTTAATAACTATTGTTAATTATTTACAAATACTGTAATTATTAAATATACTGTTAATTAATAAATACATTAATTTTCTTGTATTTATAGTAATTTATTAAATTACAGTTTATTATTATAAACATTAACTATATTTATCAAAATAATGTAAATTACAATTTAAAATACCATTAATAATTAGTACAATGGTATTCAGTCAAGTACCATTAATAAGTAATTATCAAGACCCATATTAGTTTTATTTTTTAAATAATATTTTGTTACAATTAAATTACTGTTAATTGTTGTTAATTAATACTATCTTAAAATTAAATTACTGTTAAATTTATAAACAATTTAAAAATAATTACTGTTAATTACTGATAATGGGTTTTCGGGTTGGGATTCTAAATAGTCCAATTTCGTTTAATTTAAAATACTGTTGTAGATCGGCCCATGATTTCAGTATGAGACCCGGTTTAATTATATTCAACTCAAACCAGTCTAATTAAATATGAACTTATTAATTCGACATAGTATTTAATTACTGTTAATTACTAAAGTAATAGTAATTAATTAATTCCATCTATTAATTACTAATAATAATTAAATAATGATAATTAAGAAAACATCATAATAATTGTTTTTAATAAATATTGTTTATTATTTAAAAATGCTGTTAATTAATAAATACATTAATTTTAATGTATTTATAGTAATTTATTAAACTACTGTAATTATCATAAATGTTAACTGTATTTTTCATAATAATGTTAATTACATTTTAAAATAACTGTAATTATAATTACTGCTAATTACAATTTAAAACTAATTTAGTTTCAATTTAATTACTGTTAATAACTGTAATTATTAAATATACTGTTAAGTAATAAATACATTATTGTTAATAAATGTTGTTAAATGTAATTTATTACAGTTTAAAAAGAACCACTGTTAATTAATAAATACCTTATTTTTATTGTATTTATAGCAATTTATTAAAATACTGTAATTATCAAAATTTCTATTACTTACATTTTAAAATACTGTAATTATTATTACTGTTAATTACAATTTAATTACTGTTATTTATTGTTAATTACTGTTTAATAACTACTTCATTAACTAAATATAATAATAACAATAACAATAATAATAATAATAACAATAACAATACTGCTAATAATAATAATAATAATAATAATAACAATAATATAATAATAATAATAAAATGAATTATAAACTGCCTTTTTAAGACACTCATATACTCTACGGGTCCACATAAATTGACCCTTATATGTCAAACCCGTAAAATTATACATGTCATTAAATTGAATTTGAACTGTTTATTACTTTAATTTAACCATTCTTATTATTATTAAAAATTATTTTAGTATTTAACTTTAATTTTTTATTACTTAAAATATTATTTTCCAACCAATTAAATTATTATATAATAGAATTGTTATTTCATACTTTGCAATTACGAATAAACATTAATGATTTGGCTTAACAATTTTAAGGTATAATTACTGTATTCGGTAATTATTAAGGGGCCCACTTTGAATAAACATTAATGGTAACTGATGATATATATATATATATATATTAGTGTTAATTAATTGTTGTTAAATGTAATTTTATGTTATTTATAGCTTAAATTATAATTATTGTTAAAAATCATTTAGATAAAGTTCTAAAAATATTGTATTTATTAAAAAAATAATTACTTTTAATTGTTGTATGATGCACAGTTTTATACTGTTATTTAATTAATAAACATTTTTTATTGTATGATGCACTGTTAAATAATACTATTTTTAATAAACATTGTTAATTATTTAAAAATACTATACTTATTAAAAATAATGTTAAGTAATAAATACATTACTGTTAAAAAATGTTGTTAAATTTAATTTATTATAGTTAAAAATTAATTACTATTGATTATATTACTATTAATTATTAAATACATTATTTTTAATGTATTTGTAGTAATTTATTAAAATACTGTTATTTACATTTTTAAATACTGTAATTATAATTACTGCTAATCTAATATTTAATATATATATATATATATATATATATATATATATATTAAATGAAGGTTTTAAGGCTACAACCCCCACCATTCAGACACGTGGCTTTTTCAAATTTAGACACATGGCATTTTTTTTTTGAGAAGTTGCTATTAAAGTTCACAACCCACTATCACCATTCAGATAAGTGGCCTTTTCATTTTTCTAGAAAACAAGACACGTGGCAATTTCTGAAAAAATCTTGCTAAAACCCACAATCCTTTACTAGGCTACAACTTCCCACCATTCAGACACAGCCTTCTCATTTTTTTGGAAAGTTAGACATGTGGAATTTTTTGAGAAGTTGCTGCTAAAGCCCACAATTTTCAATTCATTTTTTTAAAAAAAATGCAAAAGTGGTTATCCACAACCACTTCTGCATACATTCTATCAATCTCACTTAATTATTAACCCTCTACGTATCATAACAAAAGAAAATTATTCATATTCCTTGTACTTAGTACGGGGTCATTCACTAGTAACAAAACCAAGTAAAACTTATAACCAAATTTTGGACTCAACTTTTTACATTCCCATACTTTTGCATTAGTGCAAATGGAATTTCTCTGTAGGCAAACAAAGCCTTAGGAACACCGTGGTTGCAATGTGCTATGGGATTTGTGTGGAGAGTGCTCTATGGGAGTGAAACCAAGTTCCATTCAATTATGGGTCTATTTGGTTTGCGGGAATAGTGGTTCGGAATTAGAACTAGAATGGTAATTCCAACGATTTGGTTGGGTGGAATTGGAAACCCATTCCCTTTCCTGATGGAATTGCATTCCCCCATTTGAGGAAATGACCATTCTCTCCTCTTTTGAGGATGAGATCCTATTCCAGCTTATTCTACTTCCAATTTTGATTCCTGTTTGAACCAAATAAGCTATAAGAATATACCATTATGGTTCTGATTCCAAGGAATGCCAATTCCGATTTAAATTCCATTCCAACTGCAAACCAAGTTTGTATTTGGTATAACTTCTATTTATTAAATAAACAGTTGTATTTGATTTGTATTCAAAACCGAGAAAAGTACTTGATAAATCATTTATTGACAACAAAGTGCCACGTTAACGGAACAGTGAATAAATGCTCAACCATTGGGGGAAGTGATAAAATGAAGCTTCTCCTAATGGTTGGTGCGCACATAAATCAAGACCAACTTCTGTGAATATCTATGCGTATGGATGAACTTGATGAAAAAAAATGTTGCTTTGGCAATGACATGACAAGTTTATCAAAATGCCTTCACAAAACACCCGCAGAACCAAACATACACCAAATGGACCCCATGTTTTTACGCAAGTAATAATGGTTGTTGAAAGTTTTAATTATTTAATAGCAAATTTATTCAAAAAGAAGAGTATTGTAGCCATTTTAACAAAAGGTTTATGGGCTCAAATATGGTTATGAATCTATGGGGCTATGTTGTGCTACCAATTAGTTTATCATATCTAAGATTCCTTGGTGGGTCAGCTCTTTTCTCTAATGACCCACCATCTAACCCAAATTCCCAATTCTTAAGAAAACAAGCAAGGGTTGAAGCTTTATCATTTATAAATTAATGGGGGTGGTGGTGGTGGTTTGTCAAGATGTATGGTTTTGTTTTCCTGAAAAAGATTGCAACATTTTAGGTGTTGTTCGATACTGTTTTCATCTCGTGGATGGACCATTTTGGTCCATGCCATGGGATGAAAGTAGCGTTCAGTTCATTATGGATGGGACCGTTCCACACCATCTCGTGGACCAATCCTGTCCACACCTTAATTTCTCGGCAACGACTTCTTCTTGTGGATGGATTTCTTCCACGGGTTGCCTTCGATAATGTGTTTCACGCACAGTAAAAGAACGAACAACAGCAGAAAAAGAGCGAACGAACGACAATCTTGAATTTTCTTCTCACCTAAGCTCTTGTTGAGCATCTTGCATATCACCCACTCATTCTGTAAAAGAACGAACAACAACAGAAAAAAGGCTCATCAAGGACCACACAATAACATTGTCGATCAACAACGAAAAGCAGAGGAAGAGCTCTCCACTCTACCTTGGCTGATTTTGGTAGGTTAGACAGAGAGAATTTTCCCTCTAGCCTATATTCATGCATGACCCAGTTGGTTTTTTCTCCTTTTGGAGCTCTTCCTCTGTAGAAAACCAGAGTTTTCTTCATTTCGACAAGTGTTTTCCCTCTGTAAATCTCCTTATCCTTTCCTGTAGCTTTCCAACAACCAGCTTCAGTAGCTCTGTTGGTCCTCAAACCAGTTGGGTATTTTCTGTCTTTAACGCAAAAGAAGAAGAAGTACCACTCCTTCTCCCCCATTTTTGCTCTCCCTTTATTCAACAAAACACAAATGCTAAAGTTAAAACGTAATTCATATCCAGGAACAAACACAGGAGAGAGAGACAAAATCTATTTCAAAAGACTTACATGGCATATCCCAAGGTTCACACTTATTCAAGTCCACCTCTCCAATTGCTATAGCATAGGAGCTACTATCGACCACCTTCTTGGACAGGTAGTGAGTTATAAGCTCTTCATCGGTGGGGTGGAATCTGAAACCAGGAGGCAAATCAATATGCTCTTCTTCCATATTAAGTCCATTTTCAATTCCTACTTGCAATATTTTTCTCAGAAGCCATAGAGATTTTCCCCTAGAACTGATATTGGTTTTGACCCACAAGCACTAATTCTATTTCTTAGAGAAACCCAATTTCCTGAGACTGGGATTGGTGAAGAAACTCTAAATTTCAAATGAATTCTAATCAAGCAGCCCTACTTTTTGTTATTATGCTTGCCTTACAATTAGTATGGAAATAAGTGGATTATTAGTTTGCATAAATCGTTAGATGTTGTGCTTATCTTGCAAAATATTTTTCGTATCAATTATTTAAATATTATTTTTAATATTTTTGTCAATAAAATATTAATTATCTTACTTAATTCTTTATTTTTTTATATTTTTTAATGTTTTTATCAATGGAATTGTATATATTTTTTAAATATTTAATATATATTTTTAATTATTTTACTATTATTTTATAAATTTTTTTTGTTAATATTAATTCATTGATGCATTTTTTTAAATATTTATCATACAAAATACAAAAATTGCATATTTATGATTAATTATGTATATCATTCCAGTCCACGCCACACTACAAAACGCTACTATAGGTGTGGACTAGTCCTATCCACACAGTTTATCCACAGTTCAAAATAATTGTGGACTGTGGTGTAGTGTGGATTGGTCCCTGCCACAGGGTGTGGTGCGGACCAATCCACACCCATCAATTTCTCATCCACACTACAAAACAACCCCTCAGTGGGTGTTCGACAATATGGTTGGTTTTGTTTTTAAAACAAAAACAACTGTCATATCATAAAGAATAATACAATCTTGCTGATGTGGCACTTGTTAATTTTTTCAAAAACAAAACCAAACATGTTATCAAACACCCCTTAATAGAGCAAATTCTTTTTTTTAATGTGAAAATTATTTTTATTTTAAAAACAAAATCATACATGTTGGAGAAAAAACCAATGCATGAATTTACCACTAGTTGGACTTGGGCTAGAATTCTACTAACATCAAATATACTTCGTTTGGCGGAGGCCTGATCCTATCTTACTTTGGGCCTGGGCTGAGCCATAACAAGGCATTAGGTAGGATTGTAAGAGGCCTGCTGGATTTGACACACCGAGTTCCGACTTCCGAATAATCCCAGCCAATGCCAATTATAATTGGCATCCCAGTCAATGCTCCGTATATATTATAGCTAAGGTGCCACCATACATTGCAATTAGATTCCAATCCAACGGCTTGATGGTGCATTACAATCCTTAGCTGTACATTCCCAAACGCCGTCCATTGGGTAAGGTCGGACAATGGACATCCAATTCAAAGCTTGTCACGTGCCTAACAGGACTTTTAACCATATAATGGATTTTCCCGCCGTCTGGGTTATGTTTACACAAGACAGCGACCGCGCACTCATCGCTACTCTGAAGTCTGAAGTTCATCCGCCATTGAAACCCCTGCGAAAACCTCAACCGTGGGGAATACGGTCTCTGCCTTACTCAGTGTCACTTTCTGCGAGCAACCATGAAACTTCGTTCTCAACGTCAACGCAGAGTTTCAGGACGGGCCGTCAAAAGTAAAGTTCATCATCATCTTCTTCTCTCTCTCTCCCCCTCCCCCCCCAATTCTTTTTTCGTGTTCATTTCACAATCTAAGGATTCTATTCTTCTTCATCCTCAATTCCATCTATTATTTGTTCAAATCCCGACTTCAATTGATTTCTTGCTATGATCTCTGATCAGCCAATAGGTCCCGGACTAGACATAACTCTGACGAAGAAGATTACGTCCCACCTTCAGATTCTGATAGCAGTGGCAGCGACAAAGGTATCTTGGCTTGTATTTCTTTGTTAAATTGGTTGAAACTTGAAAGAATCTTTTCGTGTCTTTTGCTAAAGAGGGTAAATTTGAATTGTCGGAATGGGAAGGGAGTAAATGGAGATAAAATATCAATTATTTACAATGGGTTCTCCAAATGTAGGTGGTGTTTCTTTTCTGAAAGAAGATGAGCTAAAACACGATGAAGAGGGGGGAGGGACGAAAGAGTTGGACGGTAATGATAAAGGGAAGGTTATGATTGAAATAAGCGAAGGGGACTCCGTGACTGATGATGCCGCTGATTCTGATTACATTGAGCATCTAAAGGAAAGTAAGAAGACGGTATCGGAGAAGAAAGGGAAGAGACCAGTTCACAGGGGAAAGAAACCGAAAAGCAATATGGAACAAGACGGTGAAGAAAGCAACAATGTAGAACCGGAGGTTACAATTTATGATCTTGAAGAAGTTAGTGGTTATTGGATGGATGAACAGAAGAAGAAGAACAATACTCAGAAGAAGAAAAAAAGAAAAAGAAGACCAACATTATTGTGGGAAGCTTTGGAGGAGGAGAATGAGAGATGGCTTGATGCAAATGAGACAGAAGATGTTAATTTTGATCGCCTAGACGATGAAGTGGCAGAAACTGCTGAGGAGCCCCAAGACTTGCTTATGCCTTTACTGAGGTACCAAAGGGAGTGGTTGGCCTGGGCAATGAAGCAGGAGGATTCTGAACTTCGAGGAGGAATCCTTGCGGATGAAATGGGGATGGGGAAGACAATCCAAGCCATTGCACTTGTTCTTGCCAAGCATGCATCCCATCGAAGTAGTACCGGCTCCACTGGGCCTTTGTCCTCACCTGGTCCATCCACTGCGTTGCCCAAAGTTAAATGCACCCTTGTTATTTGTCCTGTTGTTGCAGTGATGCAGTGGGCGGATGAAATTGATCGATTTACACCTAAAGGTAGCACCAAAGTGCTGGTATATCATGGGGTTAACAAGAAGAAGATTATGAATGAGTTCTCTGAATTTGATTTTGTCCTGACTACATATTCTACTGTTGAGGCAGATTATAGGAAGAATGTGATGCCACCCAAGGAGAAGTGTATCTGGTGTGGCAAGTTATTTTGTCCCAAGAAGATGGTTGTCCATCTACAGTATTTTTGTGGTCCTAATGCCGTTAAAACAGCTAAGCAGTCCAAGCAAGTAAGAAAGGAGGGGAAGCACAAATTAAACTATTCTGAGGTGAAAATGAAACCTCCTGTTCAAGAGGATGAGGTGATTGAATTTGAGGGCAGCAAAGTGAATGGGGCTGGTAAGAAGACCAAGAAGCAACAGAAACAAGAAAAAAGAACAATGCCTGGGGATATTTCTTCAAATGGGAGGCCAACCAATTTAGACCAGGGAACACCTGCAGGGAAATCAGCTTTGCATTCTGTAAAGTGGGAACGTATTATTTTGGATGAGGTAAGTTTACAACTTTACATGAACCCACCAGGTCATGCTAGGGAAAGCATTTTGCATTGAAATCTCATTCTGATTCTGCTAAAGCTTGCACACGGTGAAATCCATGAATATAAGCAAGTTAGAAATCTGAAGTTGTAGCTGGTAAGGAAATATGATAGCCGAGAAAGTGCAGTTCTCTTACTCATCCTTTGCAACCTTTTCATTACTTGTATATTGTTACATAAAAGAAAAATGCTCAACCCATTGCAAAATACCTTTCTGGGAATTGATTCAGAAATATTTATTTTTTTGGTAATCATTCACAAATATTTATTATAAAAATACTAGTTTTTTGCTTTTCAGAATTTCAGGGCAGCTTTAGTTTTTGATTCCCTTGATAACACTTATTATTAGGCACTTTTGAAGATTTTGTGGTGTTATTGAAATATTTCCCTTTGCTGCACTAATTTCTAGGAATATAATGTGATTGTGTTGGTGGAAACTGTCAACTATTCTTCTATTAAGCGATTCAATTGATTCTGAATTTCTGATTAGCCTGGTTGCTTTTGTTCTATCTAGTGATTCATTAATTTACAATTCCTTGAGATGGTATTAGATCCAATTTGACCAAGTAGTCCAGTGTTCAGTTTTCATTTGCCCCCATTGTAATTAATTAAATTTCAGCAGAAGGAATGGGTAGGCCTGTGCTTGTCCATGCTTCAAGCCTGATAGGCTTTCACGTGAGGGGGTGTGTTAGAGAATAAAAACTTATTCAGGTACCTCACCTGAAAGCTTAAGCTCTTAGGTTGAATGGTTCCTTGCGAACTCTGATTATTCTCTAACACAACCACCTGCATGTCAACATCTAAAATTCACAGACACCTCACCTGAATACTTGGTACCTGTGCTATATTTATCATGGATGCACCCTTTTCTCATTATACCTTTTTAACCAGTGCTAAGTGCCTAATTTTTTTGCTCACTTTTGCTTTGAGCATCATCAGGATACTTAAAAATGTTGTGCCATGTGTCAATTGGAATTCTGACAAAATATTGGCATGAATGGATCCTTTGATTTTGAGGTTCCTGGTAACACTGGATTTTGAATTTTTGAGATATCATATGGCTGCTGCGTAATTTTTTTTTTTTTTTTCATTTTCATACATCTTCCATTCTCATTTATTTTCTATGTTCTGAGTCTTGCCATCATAGTCCTTGTTTTGCTGTTTTCATTGGATGAGGAGATTCAAGACAGTTCCTTATGTGACATAAAATGAAAAGGAAAAATTTAGTCGTCCCTTTCCATTTACTGAACTTATTAAACCATGTATTTAGGGGAATGCACAAGGATATCTTAATTATGGAGATTATGGAAGGACTCTTCTTCAGGGCTAATGAATACCAATGATATTATTATGTGGACATTTCTAGTTTGTTGAGTACTATTAATCTTGCCCAGTTTTGCTCATAAAAGATATGCTTGAGTTGCCATCTTAAAATATGATAAATAATTAAGAAATATTAATATTACTTAGATAATTAACAAAGCTTTAGATACAGGAGATTTTAACTTTTAAGATAAGTTGGATTAAAACTCCGAGAACATGAAATGTAAGTTTAATAATATTGTGAATGGGAGTGGGGGTACAATTGTGATTTAGGACTAGAGACTGAGTCATATCTCAATGCTGTCTCTTTCATTACCTTAGTTTGATAATCCATAACAAGGGAGAGGTTGAGGAAATTGTGGCTCATAGACGTTGAACAGATGGGCAAAATGGACGGGGGTGCATCTGGAGTATTGTTTGATAGGAGAAGGAGAATACCACCTAGGCTAGAAGGAAAGTTTATAACACAACCATAAGGCCAGCAAAGTTGTATTGATTTGATCTGCTGATCAAAAAGAAAAAAAATGTTGCATTGATTTGAGTGTTGGGAAGTCAATAAACATGTTCAAAAGAATGAGTATGAGCAGGAATATAGATTTTGAAGGATCAGAAATGAGCATATCTGAAGGATCAGAAATGGACTAATATGGTTTGGTTATGTGCAGAGAAGACCATTTACAACACCAGTAAAAAGTGTTCTGTTGCAAGTCGAAGGGTCCAGAAGAGGTAGGGGCAGACCAAAAAGGACTTGAATTGGAGTATTAAGAAATGATTTGATAGCTCATACTTTAACAATGAATTTGGCACTAAAAAGAGTGGAATGGTGGAACAAGAATCATGTAGTTAAGTCAACCCCATATAGTTGGAACATGGCTTTATTGATTTGATTTGAGTTAGATCATGAAGTGACACCATGGTCTAGCATAAGTCTATTTCTATATTTGGGTTTATTATTTATTTGGATTTAGGTTATTCCAAATGAGGCATTAGCTTTTTGACATGTGGATCAGGTTTCTGTATCACCATTATCTATTAAAGCAGGGAAATAAGATGAATTAGAATTGAATGCATGCATTGGTACCTAGGGCCTAGGTGTGGTTCCAGTCCACAGATCACCAGATTAAGAAATGACAAAATGTTAACCGATATTATTTGGTCATGTGCATCAAAGTCCACTGAATGCGCACTAATGAGAATGACATTAGTGCATTAGCTTGGAAACTTAGATTTAGCAAAAAAGACTTATACAACTGAAGGTAGACAGAATGGAATAGTCCTGGACCTACTGGTGCAGCCAACCCTGGATAATTAGAATGGCATTTAAGTGAATTAACCTAATATTAGAAATTCGAAAAGCCAAAAGACAGGCAAAGCAGATCATTCCTCTGCAAAAGATGAATTGCAAAATAAACATTACATTTTTGAGAGAAATTAGAGTAGACTGCATTCTTGCTGGTTGATTATTATGCTTGGAAAATTCATGGGCACCTTTTGTTAGAATATATAACTTCTATCATTATCTGCTTCATCTGTAAATGTTAATTGTTCACTCACAGTACGGTTTGTACCTATCAAGCAGAAGTTGTTTTCTGTATGTGATGATCTTCAAACCCAACTTAGCTAGATTGTCTATCATGTTAAATAGGAAAATGTGCATTGGATGTTCTTTGTTGCAAATTCATGGGATACTTCTTTACCAAATATGGGTACTTTGCATCCGTATCATTATTTTATTCGTCTTTAGATGTCCATCTTACCACTTAAACCATAGCTTGGACTTAGCAAGCAAAATTGTTATATGTTTCACTGAATTAGGAGGTAAAAGTTATTTTATGTTCTATTCTGATCCTCAAAACCCACTGCTCTGATGATTATCCAGTACATTTATTGTATGTTACATTAGATTATAATTTGGTTGATCTCTTGTTGGTCCATTTTTTGGTCAAGTTTTCATGATTTTGCAAATAAGCTGTTCCTTTATGCACCTAAAATTGTTGATGAAAGATGATCCAAACATGAAAGAAAGAATTTGTTTTTTTCTTAAGATGGTGGGTGCAACCTACTAGATCTAACCTTTCCTTCAAAGTAAATAAAGAAAAAAAAGAAAAAGTAAATATAAAGAAAGAATGTTGGATGTTGTATCATTAAAGAGAACAGGTACATACTCTGAGTATATTTGTAGTAAAAATGTATATTACCATGTCATCAGTGCCCTCCAAGTAAAGCTTATGCATAAACCAATTTGTTTACAACCACAAGGTTGCTGAAAATGAATATTGTTTTTGGCTTTAGAGGAAAGGTTAAAAAACTGTTTCCTTTACTTTTAAAGAACAAACAGATTAAGGTGATCTGGCAACAAATAAACAATAAATGGTGAGATGGATCATACTTTAATTTTAGTAAAAATTCCTGGATGCTAAGAACTATCTGGGTCAAATTGTCTGTTTTGGAATGTTAAACCTAATAACTTTATCGGTCATGGGGGGATGAACTCAGAGAGGAATGAACCAAATGGAGGAGGAGAAGAACTTCGTGGAGGCCAATCAATGGAGAAAGTATCTCAAGGTGGAGGCGAAGAACCTTCTGTTGGAAGAACTAAGAATCAGAGGGCAGATTAGTTTGAAAATCAGGGAAGCTAAGCTGGCCACGGTGCTGTTGGTAGGACTGAATGTAGTAGAGTGGTTCATAGATTTTGTAGTTGCAGCAAGTACAAAAGGAAAGGACAAATGCTGGAAAGAATTCCTAACAGAGATGGGAAGGAGGTATGTGGTGGAATGCAGGAAAAATAAAAAAGAATTCTTCATTACACTTTTAGAGCATTATGACAGTACCATGAAGCAAATGGTCTGCTTCCTGGAAGGAAGAAAGAGCCAAGGGTGGACTGAAATAGTCAAGGCCCTGAGAGAGTTTATGTCTGGAATGAAAATGAAGAAGGAAAAAGGTTTGGAAAAGAAGATAAGAGAGGATCTCTCGAAGACAGTAGTGAACCTGGAACCCCCAACCAAATGGCCCCTACATTGGTGCAAGATGGAAATAGAGCGGCAATACTGTTATTGGCAGGTAAAGGAGAGTGCTCCAATAAACAGGTTGTTGAAGTTGACAAACCAGGTAGAAGTTGGGAGGAGATTGCTGATTTGGTGACAAAACAGTTGAGGATGAAGACCACATATATATTAACGCCTTTTGATGGGTGCAAAGCTCTGCTTGATCCTCTGGATAACAAGCCAGAAGTTGAGGCTGTATGTTTGCAAGATAAGCTGGGCTCGGTGAACATATTCAGGTGGTCTCCTTTTTCAAACTCGAAGGATTCCTCGGTAATGGATGGAGTAAAAGTGTGTGTGGTTGGTCTACCTTTCCATCTTTGGAAGGATGAAGTAGCAGAAGCCATAACAGCACTGTGTGGAGCAAGACTAGCTGGTGTCTTCTGGGGAGACCTCAGGTCTGCGGCAATCCTACTAAATGGAGTCAAGCCTGAGGAGATTCCCAGGAAAGTGAACCTGAGAGTTGAAGGAGCTTTCATGGCGGTCTGGTTGACTTCCTCCATTGAAGCTGAAATGTGGAGGGAAGCTCGAAGGGAGGAAGATGGTAAGGTGAAGAAGAAACCTTACGTGGCAGCAAGGGGTTGGTAAGCCT